CTGTGCGGGCAGCAGCGCGACGCGGAAGGCGCGGAGCCGAGGACCCAGATGACGACCAGACTCCCTCCAGCGCGGGGGCGGGCGCTCGCCAGTGTTTGTTTTGGATGAGGAGGCGGAGAGTCCAATTACCCAGTTTGTCTACAGTACACAGACCCCGTTCGTGACAGGCTGGCTTTGTTTTGGGGGGAGACATCATCCTACGGAGTGACACGGCGGAGAAGATACCCCCACCCCCGTGCATAACTTCCACATCACCTCCCTCCTGCAAACAGGCACATCGGGAACAGGCGACAGGCGCACAGGCACATGGACGCACAACCAGACGCCAGTATCCATACACACAGGTAGGGGGTCCCTTTCTCACACCCAAAACCCTTCTTCACACACCGCAGGAAGGGGACACCTGATTATCAGACCTCCGGCCTCAGGGCTGGGCAGAGAATCCTTTCAAACCATTTTCCCATAGCCTTTTTAGGACCGCGGTCCTCAGTAAGGAGGCTGCCTGAGACAGTGGGCCATCTGTTTGGGAGGCTGCAAGGCCCCTGGGGTCCTCCGACGACCCTGTTTCCTTCAGGACGGCTGAATCTTGAAACCCCCGGGCTCCCGAGCCTATAGACCCGGGGTTTGAACCCTGGCTCTGAAAAGTATTCATTCCAGACCTGTTTCCTTACATGTATTTTCACCGAGAATTTTCATTTTCAGAATTGTAGATTCGCATGTGGTTGTACAGAAAAAATAACCTTTACCCAGCTTCCCTCAGGGGTAACATCTTACACAACTATGGCCCAATATCACAACCGCAGATCGGAATTGTCTGGTCAAGATCCACAACATTTCTATCACCAGAAAGATCACTCGGGTCGCCATTTTATGCCCAGCCTGGTCCTCTCTTCCCTTTTCCCCTACAACCCATGGCAACCAGTACTTTTTTCTCCGCTTCCATAATCTCATCACTTTAAGAATGTTAGACAGGGCTGGGGATTTGGCTCAATGGTTCTGCCACCTGCCTCACAATTGCAAGGGCCCGAGTTCGATCCCTGGTACCAAACAAAAACAGAATGCTAGACAAACAGAAACACAATATGTATGGGACCTTCTGGGATCGCCCCGTCCTGCCCGTCACTCTCTGGACTCTGATCCGAGTTGTTGTGTGTATCAATCGTTCATCTTTTATTTCTTGGTATGGATGTAGCCTTTCAGGCTTTTGTGAAGATGAAATGAGATATTTAATCAAGAGATCACTGTGAGCTGGGGATTTAGCTCAGTGGTTCCGCCCCCATACAGTGATGGCGAACCTTTTTGAGACCGAGTGTCCAAATTGCAACCCAAAACCCATTTATTCATGGCAAAGTGCCAACACTGCAATTAAACTTGAATACTGAGGTGTTAGTTTAGAAAGAAAAATGACTGTTATCCAATGCTTGGTTGTTGGGGTGACTTGGCTCATGTGCTGACAGAGGGCTCTGTCTGCCCCTTGTGGCGTGAGTGCCATAGGTTCGCCATCACTGGCCAGCCTACAACTTCTCTAGTAATGCTAGTAATATTACTAATAGTAATACCATTACTGCTACTATAACTTCAGCTCACGATAGGCCCCTCTTAATATAGATAGACTTGTTAAACTCTAGTACTTCTAGTACTAATAAGCACCAAATAAGCACCCCTACAATGACCACAGAAAGGCTGAAAGCCATAGACACAGACCATTCTCGGGATTGGTTGGGGGTCTGGCTTCAGCTCTGCTTGCTCACTGCACCTGCCGCTGGAGTAGTGATGCTGGCCTCTGGCACCTGCCCAGCTGGGGCAGCTTCACAAGCAGGTTTACAGACTGCCATTGCACTCCATGTCTGCATCAGCCAGTGGGGGAATGAAATGAGCTAAACGCTTGCATGTTCACTTTCTCATAATCCCCATCCCCCCAGGTCCAGGGATTAAACTCAGGGACATCTTTTGATTTGATTTTTAGACAGGGTGTTGCTAAATTACCCCAGCAGGCCTTGAAATTGTGACCCTCCTGCCTCAGCCTCCTGAGGATCTGGGGTTTACAGACATGTGCCACACAAGTGCTTGGCAACTTTCTCCTAATCTTAAAACAACCCTGAGGGAAGTCTCCTGGGCCGGCATCCGTGTCGGTGATCTGCAGAGGAGGAAGCTGAGACCTTGGGAAGTGACTCCCAACCACGCAAGCCCCTCAGAGTGCATCTAGGTTGGGAATTCCAAACCTAACACTGCCCATCTTTATCACGATCAAATCACAAGGAAAGAATGGGGCATTATCAATAAGCCACACTTTTCCACTCTCATCTGGACTGTGGCCTTTTGTCCAAATGCAGTCACTGGGAGGAGCCCAGGGCCCCACAGGGACTGCAGCACCTCCTCATGCTGTCCATGCCAGGTGGCAGATCTAGACAAACTCGAGTCCAGCCCCCTAAAAGGCCCCTGTCCTGGCCTCGGCTTATCCTGGGTACCACTCTCCATGTGGGCCATGGGATCCAAAGACCTTGGAAAAGTACTATGAACAGGGTGTCTTCCAGGCCATGGCCTAATTGCTTATTCTGGAAGTCCCAGCTTGTCTCCATCTTCCCCCACTCCTCCCGCCGTGGTGCTTCCTCTCAGGCAGGTGACATCCTCTAGTCCCTACACTGAGTGTGCGTTGAAGAAGCTTGTAACCTAGCAACCACCACTTAAGATTCCCTGAATCACCTGCAGTTTCCATGCCTGGGCTGACTGCACCAAACTGCGGCCTTCAGGGGTGCCATGCTGAAGTGGGGGGTCCCATGACTCTTCAGACCCTTCACCACCCCATCTCAGCGTGTAACCACTTTCCAGGTCAGGAAGTCCTTCCTCAAGTCAAACCTAAATCCTTCCTGCTGCAAGATCTTCACTAGCACTGGGCCTGGCTTTCTGGTCTTTCTTAAAATCGTTGGATGGGGCTGAGAGTATAGCTCAGTGGTAGAGTATGTGCTTAGCATGTGTGAGGCCCTGGGTTTGATCCGCAGCACCAAGACAAAACAAAAAATGTGTGTGACTCCTTGGAGAAGAGTAGGCGGAGGCTCTGGAGGACAGGAAGGCCACGGAAGCCACTAAAGATGAGACCTTTGGTACTTTGGAATTTTAATATTTATTATCATTCATTATCCACAATCGAACTCGTGGATGTGCAGCACCCAAAAAAGTCATTAATCTTTTAAAAAATTCACACCATGGACTAGGGAATGAACCCAGGGCCTTCACAATGAGCTCGTATCCTCAGAACTTTTTAAATTTTTTAAAATTTTGAGACAGGTCCTCACTAAGTTGCTAAGTTGTACAGGCTGAGTTCAAACTTGTGATCCTCCTGCCTCAGCTTCTCAGAGTGCTAAGATTTCCAGTATGGACTGCCATGCCCAGCTGAATAGGGCGCATTCTAAAGGGACAGGGAAAGAAGAGTCTTGAGCTATTAGGTGCCACAGAGTCTCCTCCATCTCCAGAAATTCGTGCCACTGGTGGGAACCTCCTAAGTGCCCCCTTGGTGGTACCACGCTGGCTGGAAGGCCCCGGGGAGCCCCCAGCCCAGATGGTCTTCTCTGTGCAGGAGCCTTTCTGCAGGGTCCTGCAGATCATAAGGTTGTGGGGGGTTGAGTGGACTCCAATCAGGCCGACTAAGTCTGAATCCTGACTCAACCCACAGCCTCTGTGCCCATCTTGTTTTAAGTCTGTCTTGGGCAGATCTCTCCTCCTGGCTGAGATCACTGCCATGGCAGCCTCACCTGTGCCTAATCTGCAGAACAGCTGGTGTCTGTGCGCTGGATAATCCCCTGCTCATTCCTAACCAGAAGCCTGACCTGTGTGCAGGTGGAAAGAGGGTGACTCGGCCACTGAGGACCGAGATAGGCTGCAGGCAGACCAGGCAGAAGGAGGCTCCTTCCCGAGCCTGGATGAGTCCTACGCAGGCGACCTTCCACCCAGCCCAACATTAGCTCGAGGAAGGATTTGGGGCACCATTGCTGCAGTCAGAGCAATAATCTGCTTCTGCATAACCCGTCCTCAGGACACTGCTGCCCTGGGGTGGGGAAGTGCCCCAGAATGGCCCTGGCTGTTAGTGCTCCCCTCCTGCCCAGCAGCCTTGATTAGAATCGAGTTAGCCAGGAGTTCCTTTAAGAATCCACCCCGCTTCTTCCCCAGCTGGTGCACAGCGAGGTGTAGGGACAGAGGGACTTAGTAGGCATGGGTTAAGGAACGCCTCTCTCTGCCCATGAGAGTCCTTTCCGCTGATTTAGGGAAAACTTGGCTCTCAGGATAGAATAAGGTGGGGGAAGGGTCATCCTAGTTTCAAAATTGGTTTGTAGACTCAGAAGA